TTGACCACGGACATCGACCGTTTTCTCAACCGGTGAAGTATAGTGAAAGACCACCACGTTGACCTCACAAAACTGCAGGCTACCTCCGCCAATTTGAACAGCCTACGAAATTGCTGGGCGGCAACATTCTACAACTCTATTCGCTTTCGCAGTCACCGTTCTCCCTCGGCATCAGAAGCCAAAGACCGACCCCGAGGATGCATCTAAGGGAGACCAATAGGGTATTGTACGATAAGCCCACAACCACCGTTGAGACCGTAATTCAACAAGGCCGCTGTGGAGCTTTCCCATCCTTGATAAACCTGTAACCGCCCAAATTCGACCGAATTCCTTTCACAATTCTTATTGCATCTGATCTTTGCAATAACTCTTCTTTCACTGCCGTCCTTGTTCAGTGGTCGTCACCAAGATGTCTAGAACTAAGTTTCCTAAACCCGACAAAATCGCCTGGTCTTCATGGGAAAAAAGCAACCTGATTTTCTGGCTGCATCAGCACCGAGGGATGTCTTGGAAGGAAAGATCCAGGGCATACTTCAGGCAGTTCGGCGTGGAACGGACGGGCGAGGCATTGAGATGCAAACAGAACTACCTCTTACGGAACCTTCAATCCATGCAGGAAAGTGTGTCTGAGACCTCAAGCTCGGGGGCACTTCCGCCACGAGTCCGACACATAGAAGCTCGGGGATCTTGCTTGCCGTCTCTTCCAATCTTCGCACCTAGAGGCTCGCGCAGAAAAACTCGCGATTTGATCCATGCTCTGGAGCAGCTGGCCATTTCAGAACGCCGCCGCTTGACAGATGACTTGGCTAGTGCAAACGAGAGACTACCAGGTAAGATATAATGGCAGCTTTGGCGATGGGCCAGGAGAGCTAATGGTTCGATAGGTTCTACGATCCGACTGCCACATACTCTGAGATCCAATTCCTCGCGACGTGTTTCATACCTCCGGAAATTTGTACGTCGTATGGTAGCTGCTACGAAGGGGTCACGGAAAGTTGCGATCTTGTGATCCTCAACACTTAATCCTTCTGCATACAACTCAATGACATAACCCTATTCACCTGGCACGCTTCAATGTATTTGTCTAATAATATTGACAATGAGGTCCTGGCTTTTCACGGGAGGGCCAGTTTGAGACAAATCTACGGTGCACTACGCTGGTCGTGGAAGAAAACGTAGCGTGATTCCCATGCTGTCCCAAGTACGGCATATCTGAACCTAGACATAGTTGCTAACCCATGGCGTAAGCGTTACGACGGGATATATCGCTAGTCCATGTACAACAATGATATTACTTCTAGTATCCGCCGCGCACAGGGCACCAGCAGCTCCATGGTTCACATTGGCAGAGCCCCGCTGTCTATGTACTTCCCGTCCTTCCCGAAGTAAATGACTGTTAGGGAAAGTGCTTTGAGGAATAATTGTGCACTCTTTAGCAGCTAGCTTTACCGCCAGCGGCGGCAGTTTTCTTACCTTGGCTGGTAACAAGGTTGCCATTAGGCTGGGGGAAACCTGAACAGATAATATATTCAAAGAGCTGTCGCTAACCATAAATTGAACGTGGGACTTGTCTAGAGCAGCGTCTTTCTACCGTTTCATTTCTCCGAGTAATGAGCGCCATTGAGCATTGCCCGTTTCTTGCGCGCTCGGTTTTCCTGAAAGGTAGAAACCTGCCTACTCTTGCACAGTCCATCTAAACGGGCTTTCATGTTCTCCACTGTTTCCTCTAATTCCTGGATCCTCTCTTTGAGAGCTGTGGTTTCTCTCAGTAATGTCCTGTTCTCGGTCAATACGTCGGCGAAGCCATCCTGTGTAATGCTATTGATAAAGTGTTCAATTTTCCTTTCCATTCTGGTTAGCATGTTGATTATTTCGCTGGGAAAGCAGACTCCGACTCCAGCAAGGTACCGGAGCAGGGATCTGCCAGATCATGAAGAAAGCTGTGGAACTCACTTGACGCGCTCGTGAAGGCTGCCAATAGCAAGGTCAGCACAATAAAGCCAGCCACCTGCATGGTAAGAGCTCACTCTGGGGTTTGCTGGGTCGACCGCGAAGGATCCTGTGCTGCAGTGAACTTCAATTCAGCCACCATTCATCTCGCCCGTGGGCCTTGACCGCAAATGATAGTACCTTTCTCATCCTTTGGAAGGGCTGTAAGATCAGGGGTTTCTTTGAGTCGGCGCTGCTCTTGCATAAGACGAGACGTCATACTTGTTGGTTTTTGCTGTTCCTCTCGACACAGCAAGCTTGAGAATCGTGCTTCGTAACCACCTGGTTGCCTCCCTGACCGCAGGATTTGCGTGGACGACATTGAAAGAATGAGACAAAATTGGAAGAGCGTCCAGGATAGTTCAGAAAAGAGAGCAGGAGGTTGGCGAAAGGGGGAACGTGGGTGGAAGGATGCGCGATTTCATGCTTGTGGTGGATCACGTTACTGCAGGCATTCTAGGCATCCGGCGCGGCAAAAAGAGATAGCAGAAATAATAATAACAATAATAATAAAAAAGGCAGAGCTGGATGATTTTCGATTCTCATGCTGGCCGTTCGTTATTTTAGTTGCCATAGGGTAGCTTGGGTAAAGGGCGAATTAACAGGAATCGGGGTAACACGCCATTGCGAGGTAATTCAACACAACTTGCAAAATTGCCGTACATAGCAAGTTCACTTCGAGATAGCCATTTGACTATGACTTCTTAGATTATCGAAGATGTTGAAATATGATGGCGGTCAAACGGCCGGTTTCGTGAACCGCATTTGATTCGCACGGCCCCGCCCCAAATCTGAATCAATGGTTGTCCTGCGGTCTCAGGATCCGCCCATCACGAAGTTAGCTGACCACACTGTGAAGACCACCCAGTACAATGTATGTGCGAACGACAAAGTATGCCGCAACCGATCTAATTTACCTCATACACTGAGTACCTCATCATCTGAGGTGCGGGTATGGCATTCCCGCGAGGCTGGGTGTTGCGTTAATGGTATTTGTCAAGTGCCGTAGTGGGAATAGATAAAAGAGCGATATGCACCCATGATCGGAGAGTAGGAGCAGGCTTCCTGCCCTCCCTCATTGCCATGAGCCCCGTGAGGTAAATGTTGTGCTCCCTCATTGCCACATGAGGTAAAATGTGTGCTCTCCCTCATTGCCCTGAGCCCCGTGAGGCGTATTTTGTGCTCCCTCATTGCCCTGAGCCCCGTGAGGTAAATGTTGTGCTCCCTCATTGCCACATGAGGTAAAATGTGTGCTCTCCCTCATTGCCCTGAGCCCCGTGAGGTGTATCTTGTGCTCCCTCATTGCCCTGAGCCCCGTGAGGTAAATGTTGTGCTCCCTCATTGCCACATGAGGTAAAATGTGTGCTCTCCCTCATTGCCCTGAGCCCCGTGAGGTGTATCTTGTGCTCCCCCTGGCGACGTGCAGCACCTCTCCGTGGTGCTAGGGACCAGTACTCGGTGATCATACGATATCGAGGAAGCTAAGACTTGCACAAATCTATTTACTATCTCGTCACTCTTGATATGCGCACGCCATCGCATCTTGGGCTTTACTCTGTGTATCCAGAAAATGAATCTCTTATATCCTAGACGTATAGCGTGTAGTTCAACGAATGTTCTGAAATAATCTTTGATTATCCAATATTGCCTTTGCCAATGTGGCATTTGGTTGTCTTAATATTAAATTTAATAGTGTTACTGTACTTATAGAGAAAGAAGCTCTTAAGAAGGACATGTCCCCACGAGATGTGGTGTATGCCAAGTCAGCTCAACGCATAGATAAAGATTGGTAGGTAGATTGCGATCTTGATTCTAGCAAAAGGGTGGTTAGCACAGCGGTTAAGCAGAGCGGTTAAGCAAGGTGGTTCAACTAAGTGGTTAAACAGAACGGTTAAGCAGAGCGGTTAAGCAGAGCGGTTAAGCAGAGCGGTTAAGCAGAGCGGTTAAGCAGAGCGGTTAAGCAAAAGTGTTAAACAGAGCGGTCGGGTGGAGTGGTCAAGAACAACGGTCAAGATCTGAACTAGCGATAAATTACTAACCCGGTCATAGCGTAGAAAAAGAAGAGACATTGCCCGGTACATGTAGGAATGCTGTCATTGCGACAAGCTTTCATTCATATCCCGCGGAAACCTGCGGTATGCAGTTCTTCTTCATTCTCAAGGATTCGCGACCAAATTGTACGGGTTAACAAAGCACGCAGTCAAACCGGAGAGGACCGTGGGATTATCCGGCTCTGGCGATCAACCGCACGGGCTTGTCTCACACGCATGAACCATGGAATAAATAACGGAATCAGCCGCTGATATGATCTGCAACTTCTGTATCCAAATGCGGCCGTCACTGCCGCATGAAAATTCGGATTTTCACTATCACATTTAGCGGTCACGTAGTTTCCTATTGGCTATGCTCTGTATTTATCCCGGTTTGATTTGAACCGAAAGCACAACGGGTAGTTGGGGGCGGACCCATTGTCTCGATTCCCCGCCCAATCAGAAATTTCCCACGCCCCTCTCCGAGATGGAGGCAAGATCACGGAAGAAAATCACCTGCATTAAAATTTATACGTTGATAATGGTTTGGACGCAGTACGAGTATTGTACTCCGCTTCAAACGGGTCAGATCCAGATTCGTGCTTCCCACAAAGAGTAAACTTTACTCCGGCCAGAGCATCAATGTTAGAACACAAGAATATGAAGTACCAGTCACTGTAGCTTGAACGCGATCCGCAGAGCGGAAAGAAAAATCCAAATCAATATGATGGTCATACACATTCCAGCGGGCGAATGGAAAGCTATCTCGGGGTCAACACACGTGATGTCAACGAACAGACTTATAAGTAGCGCTGTCGGGACCTCTGCTTAGCACCTTGAACCTCGCAGTCTCCTTTTCATAAACCGGTGTCACATTGCCCATGTTTGTCCTCGAATAAACGGCGGTCGTCGGTATTTATTCTTATCTTACGTACCCACCGGTTTCTAGCTAATTTTTCTTCAAATCGAGTAACGTTCGAGATGGACTCCAACGCTGCCACTGTTGAAGGCACTGGCCATAACGTTAGAGAAAATGACTGCTTGCTGAACAGTCTACCAGAAATGAAAAGCGTGTATTATGAGCATTTCAAGCCTTTTCAAGACAAGCTGTCTTCGGTACTTCAGCACTCGCGGTCATATTTCACGGCACTGGCGGAGCGAGAGAGCTTTGCTGCATTTCTGAGTGTTCCCCTTATAAGTGACGTCCTAGTGAAGACAATCGAAGGGATGTTTGAGACACCAAAACCGCGTGTGCTTCAGCCACAGAACGACGAAGCCAGTGCCAATATCAATTGGTTGGACGTTGTCAAGGAAAAGAATTATCAGGCCGAATATAAAGGGAATGGAAATTACCATTTCCATATGCTGGACCGGGGGTGATTGTCCAGTTGTCTGCTTTCCAGCACAACATGATCCTTTCAGGATTACCCCGGAAGCTTGTCCAACCTTGGTCCTATGAAAAGGACGTGCAGACAGAACTAAGCACCTTGGCGCTGGCAGCCGAAATGACATCACTCGAGAACCATCTAGCGTCGGAAGGTAAGCCAACCCGAGCATTATCCTAATTCTTTTCACTCGCTTACATCACCCGCAGTGATCAAAGTCAATAACACTGTGCTTGAAGAGATACTGAGAAGACATCGAGATCTCCGCCACCGCCCGGAGCCAAACCAGAGATCGGCGGGCTCTCCCTTTCCCCTGGAATCTGCCGAAGAGCCAGCCCACTTGACGCCAACGCAGGTTGAAGCGAGTTCACTCGATGAGAATGCTATCGAGACTCAAGGAACTTCCTTGCAAGCCAGTGGTTCAATACAGGGTGCTGGAACACGGAACTGTAAGTAATGCACATGAGAAACGTGGCATTAAAATTGAAGAGATTGAAGAAATGTACTAACCATTGGAATGTATCAGTCGCTAAAAACAGGGCTTGGCCTCCAGAAGTATTGAAGCGGCTTCCTATATGGTTCGAAGACCAAGTAAGGAAGAACCTGTCACAGGAAGAGATCGCCCAAAATTTTCACCAAACATTCAAGCAAAAACGGACTTTCCATGCTATTGAGGCAAGAGTGTATTTCTTAACAGGGAAGAGTCCTTTCCGGAAGCGCAGTAAGAGGACTTCGCGCAAAGAACCTGTGTCTTTGACACCTCGCTCCTCCCCACCGCTTTCTCAACCCTTTGAAGTGGACTTGACCCAACAATTGATCTCGAGGTCGAACATCGAGGTTCACGCGTTACGTCTAGCCCCAAACTTGCTACCCTACCTGAATTCTGACGACTGCGAGGATGGAAGCCTTTACGCTCTTTATGATGTTCAACCGGTTGACCCTGAATCAGAATCCAGCGGCCCCCATGCGGTACCTGAAGAGGATGCTGCAAATCAAACGTCAAGCTGCCGGTACTCATCTCAAGGGCATGAAGTTCCGTCAGGTACAAGTCAAAATGAATGGCGAGTTCAAGGAAGCCCTCAGGCTGGAGAACCGCCTAAAACCCATCCGGTGTTCTCAGATGTGGTGTCCGAGAGTCAGCCAAGGAATGATAATTCAATCAATGTCCTCGCCACAACATCAGGGACGGTTGATTCCTACTTTCCGCGAGACTCTCCCTTAGGATCCCCTCGGACATCAGGGACGGTTGATTCCTACTTTCCGCAAGTCTCTCCCTTAGGATCCCCTCGGACATCAGGGACTGTTGATTCCTACTTTCCGCGAGTCTCTCCCTTAGGATCCCCTCGGACATCAGAACCTATCCAATCTCCTATTCGGCATCACTCTGACGGCGATACCACACTTGAAGAGCTGGGCCAAACGCTTATCCATGGTACTGAGTCCAGTGCAATGCACGTGGAACAAATAGACACGGCGCATAACAGTCAACCATCTGGGAGAGTTTCTCCGCAATTTTCACCATGTGGAACTTCATTGGCTGGAGGTTCAGCAAACGAGGGTTCCAATCATGAAAGCCACCCAGAGAGCGGACTCGGTGCATTGACTGTTCCCAGGGCATTAACGCTCTTCCAAGTTCCGGAACCAAGCTCCACTGATAAAGCGACTGAGCACCACTCTCAGAACTGCGGAAGGGATGGGTCAACCACCGATACCTCTGGAAATTTGGGTGAAGAGGAATTGACCATAAGATATCATGAAAAATCTCGAGCGCAGGCGGAGAGTTCTCATCGCTCATGGATTGCTAAGGACCTGGACCGTTTATCAGGGTGGCTCATGAAACGGAAAAGCCTACGAAAGGAAAGACTTGAAGTTGAGTTTGTGAGAGACTTTGGACACTACCGAACTTCCTCTGCCATCCGTGCAGCGTGCCGCAAAAAGCGAAAGGCAGATTCTCGCCAAAAGGATGTAACACATCAACTAGCTCCGGTTGCCCCTGCCGTTCTCGATACTATGCCGGTATCACGATCACCCAACGCCATCATTGACACTCCGAGCTTGGACCCATCCCATACAATAACAGTACTGAGCAATGATAGCACTACATCCAAGCATCCGCTGTTAGAGCGACCTCGATCGCCACAGCTTCATCACCAGCCGCAGGTTCAAGACAACACAGAAAGACTTTCTCAAAGCAGTCCTTTACTATTGAATGAGGATGAGGAAGCAGTGGCTCAAATTCCACTGGCTGTTGTTGCCTCCGAACCAGCTTCTGGACAGATGTTGCTTTCAAGTTCTCCTGAGAATGTCCAAGATACCCCCACGTTGGGAAATCGTTGCCATCGAGTTGACATCACGCCAAACCCTCTGGCCAGGTTCACAGCAATCAATGGCGGTAACTTCCAACCCACCGATCCAAATATAAGCGAAATTACCCCGCTTGTTCAGATGGAGTCCAACGAGCAAGACACTCTACCTGATGGGCAAGGAAGCCGACGAGTATCAAAAGTAAAGTCTGTCGAGCGGAGAGGAGATGACCAAAATATGTCACAGGAAAAAGGGTCCCACAGTAAGCTCTCCTCTAATGCAGTGTCCGGCATAGTCACTTGGCACTTTGAAGCGTACCACATCTGTGTCATCAGATCTTTTCTTCTCATTTTTTCCTTTTCTGTCTATGTTTCCCACACTGACAGTTTTCATTCGCACTTGCAGGTGGAAGAGGACGCCTTAACCAGCCTATCTCTGAGTACACACAGGCAGGTTCGCATTACTCAAGACTGTCTACCGGAACACCCGAAGGAGCTCAAAACCAGCAGTCAGTCTCTAATGGTACTTCGAACGCCGACATTCCAGAACAGGAAATGCACCCAAACTTGCAGAACACGTCGCAGCCTCAAGTGCGAGATATCAATATCCCACCAACACACATCCTCCAGCACAGAAATATATTAATCCCAAATAGCCCGTTCGACGTCCAAGTTTCAAACCCTCGACCATCCTATTTCTGCACGCCAGATTCACAATCAAGGATTTCTCAAACGAGCGGTGTATCAGAGAGGGCTCACACAGGCGGTTCGTTCATACTCTATACTCGTGGCCCCCGCAGTCCTGACATGTAGTCCGAAGCAGTTGTTCCAATATCAGTCTCATCATCCTTCCAGAGCAGCCCTACGAGTCTTCCTCACTATCCCCTTCATGAATTGCAGGGACGCGGTGCCGAGCGGTACCAGGGCCCTCCCTCCCATCATGGGGGCAGCAAATGTATCACCAATGTGCGGATGAGCCTCTTCATAGATAGTCGCATGTGCTGTCTAGCCCTTATACTTCCCGACTATCACACATGGTCTAACATCCTCTACTTCGGTAGTAGAGCCTCCATTTAATTAGATATTGCATGCATGGTTTGGATGATGCTAGTTTTCAGCTCTCAGTCATTATTTCTTCTTCCCTGGTTGCCCGGTCACTATGTGTATGCATCGATTTACGTTCTCTTTCCTCTTTTTCCTCTTTCACTTGTTTTATTTCTTACCTTACTGCCACCGTATGAATGTACATATAACACAGGCCATAGTGACAGAAACTTCTGTCTGCATCTGCAAACTAGTTGTAAAAGTGAACTCACTATATTCTACGGCCTGCAAATAGTATCTGCACCAAGAAGTCTATACTAAATGTTGAAGATTAACCATATCAGCCGAAACAAACAGCCTTGATTGATCTTACAGGAAGCGTAAACAGACCCCACTTTTACAGTCATTGAGCGTCGTACGAATTTTATGGCACACTAACCTTTGGGCTTTGCAAAGCAAGTCTCATCTATTTACCTGACATTTAGATACGCAAAAATAGCAGGAAAAGGCTACCTAGTATGTAAAAACGCTTGAGCAATCACATAACAACTGTGCTGTTTACTCGGTTTTTCAGGGAATGCATCACGCAAATATAGTTTCACATGTATATCTTTTGCAAAACAGAGTTGGTCAAGGGCGTTCCAACCATTCAACGGACTATACAGATGCCCAAGTCTGCGATTTCCACCCTGCTAGTCACATTTGGCGAGATTCGCGGATGGAAAGGGGCATTTCACGCCCATCAGTTCCGGTATGGAAGTGGTAAAGTGATCAACGAGAGTGGTGAGTTCTTCCATGGATATTGTGAATTTGATCTGTCTTGTCAAGTTGGTGGCTGATGTACTCCGCAGGGTGGGTGAGCAAGGAGCAACATATGTTGATCATGAAGCATGCCAGCCCCTGCACCTTTCTCAACCACTATCATCCCCTGCAAATCGACACTGACATGATCCGGGTGATCTGTGGCCTTGACCCGGATGTGGAACTGATGCGAGCTGTTACACGGCAAAGCAGTTGGCGAGACACGCGACGCCCACGCTACTTGACCGATCAACAAAGGGCACAGGTTGAAGAACATTCTGAGTTGGAAGAGGCACGGCGCAACCTAGACAATATCCGCGCGCAGTACGAGGAGACCCAGGAACCCGGCCTGCTTCCTAGACTCCAGCAACGGGAGAAGGAGGTGAGAAATACGCGAAAAAGGTTGCACCGGAGCTTACGGCATGAGATCCGAGAGAAATTTGATGAAGAGCAAGCCTTCTTGGATATCGAGGCGCAGCTGTCGGGTACCACAGTCAAGGAAGAGAGCGAAGACTCACCCTTGGAAGACACCATGCACCCCCTTCAGTTGCATCTCGTGCAGAGTCTTCTTTCCTACCCTGTTTCTAACTCGTTGGAGGATGAGTGGCATCGGCGCGATACGGGTACTGCAGCGGTTGTTCAGAAAGCTCCTGAATCTGCTTCGCCGACTGGAAGGTCTCTGGTTTCTGGAGCGGCCCTTCCTGGAATGACTCAAGCTCCTCGAATGCCGCTCAAAAGCCCAATCGTGCCAGTCTTATGACCTATTTAATGCGACTGCACAATGAGAATGACATGCATGATGTAAAGCTACGTGTTGCTCGATGTTCTCTGTTTCTGTTTTTTGTCAGAGAAATCGAGTGTGAACGTCAACGGGGCACAGCAGAGACTGCTCTGAAAAAAAATGTCGTCAGCACACTTTGCAACTCGAGAGGCCTGACACCAGTCGAGAAAAGAAAACTCCACAAATCTTTCCACAATGAAAAGAAAATCGGTGAATATTGGTGGTGGTGTGTGTACTACTTCGGCCCCAGCTTTCTTATTCGGTGCAGCAAAGAAGCAGGCAAAAAGATGTGAGAATTCTTTCAGTACAGTACCATCTCCCCTCAACTGACAGGTATGTAGAAACAATTCCCGTTTCCCGCTGGATGCTATAAACGCGAGATATTGCTGTGGATTGAGGCATGGTTAGGAAGCTCTGCTGATGATGGGGAGAGACAGTGAGAGACGGGGAGAGAGGGAGAGACGGGGGAGAGACGGGGAGAGACGGGGAGAGACGGGGAGAGACGGGGAGAGACGGGGAGAGACGGGGAGAGACGGGGAGAGACGGGGAGAGACGGGGAGAGACGGGGAGAGACGGGGGAGAGACGGGGAGAGACGGGGGAGAGACGGGGAGAGACGGGGAGAGACGGGGGAGAGACGGGGAGAGACGGGGAGAGACGGGGAGAGACGGGGAGAGACAGGGAGAGAGAGGGAGAGACGGGGGAGAGACGGGGGAGAGAGGAGAGGGGGAGAGAGGGAGAGAGGGGAGAGAGAGGGAGAGAGAGGGAGAGACGGGGGGAGAGACGGGGGAGAGACGCGGAAGAAATTATACGCCGTGATTGACATTTTGCGGACGATATAGATATCAAGTTCACTGTCAGCAAATTAGAGAGGGCCTGTGCACTAGAGCTATTCTGACTCTTGATCAATTTTATATTCCTCGCCAAAAAGTTAGATTAGCTACCGTGACAATCCAAATAGTGAAAGTAAGAGTCTAGCAAACCACTGCTCCAGAAAATTTCTCAATCACTTTGGAATACCATCCAGGCTTCCCCCTTCTGTATAATCTCATCGCTGTAGCTAAATCTTGCCTACAAGAATCTTGCAATGCAATTGAAAGACGGTATCCTTCAAGCACACTCATCTCTTTCTCCTTGTCTATCACTGCTGTAATATAATCACGTCTGTCAGCATACCTTTGTACGCTTTCTGCATCCCTTGGAAGCCCACTTTCGTCGTAATTCCATGGTGCATCCATATCGGGTGGTAACATTGACAGAGTCAACGGAAATTCGCCGAAGAGTTCCCA